TATTCTGGTAATCTAAATCTTCAGATGTTTAGCGATGCGATTTTTATCTTGCAAGTTATTTTATATCGAAACTCTTATTGTTAATTATGAACGTGTATGATATCAATACGCTATAATATGTGATAATGTATATAATAACGAGTTAAAGTATGAGACTACTGTTGATATGTGTTCACAAATTCTAAGTAACAATTTTCTTTTATTGTTAATTCGTTTATCTTTTGTAAAGATTTGATTCCTACGAGACAATTGATTGAATTTTTTTCAATCCAATAACAAAACAAAAAATAGACTAAGAGGAGGAGGGGGAGGAGTAGAAGTAGAAGGAGGGAGGTAGTCAAGGTCGTAAGGAAACGCGGGACGCTGTCTTATGGTAACTCTTTCTGTCAAGAACGATTCTTCGGTGAGTCGTACGCATCTATCAATTAAGTACAATTGACCGACAACTATCTGCCCAATGTATATCCTCCACTATCTTTCTTTCTCTTACATCTTTTTCTCAAGCATACCCGCCTTATTCCTCTTGATTTATCTCTCTTTTTCTTTCTTTTTTTTCTTTTCTTTATTTATCTTCTGTCGGGGATAGAAATTCATTACCAAAAAAAAAAAATCGATATTAGTTTCATTGTGTGTATTCACCTTGGTGTATTCTGCATCGTGAAACGCGAGTAACTGGTAAAAGTTCAACGTCGTTTCCCACGCTCCCCTCTTTCTCTTTTTCTCTCTTTCTCTTATTCGTTCGTTCTCTTTTTCTCTTGTTCTATCCGCCGATCTTATGACCGTGGGACGAGGGGGATGAAAGGCAATAGGAAGGGGCAAGTGGTCGGTGAAGCGACGAGAGAAAGATGAAGGTGGTGGGGGTAGGAGCCACGCGAGTGGTCGAAACTGAAGGGAATCGTACTTATATTCTTCTTACATACCGTTCGAAGATCGGCTCATCGTTTTCGTTGTCGTCGTCGTCATAGGTATAGTCATCATAGTCATAGTCATAGTTTGTGATTTCGTGATCTCAAAATCGCAGCCTTGTAAAATATCTTCTTTTTATTATTATTATTATTATTAGTCTCTTCTCATAATAAACTTTGATTTTGTAAGCGTTTGTTTACGCATTTTCAGAATGATTTCCAATCTTCCTTTTCTTTTTTTTTTTTTTTGTATAGTACTTATCGAACGATCTCGAAAGTCAAAGTAAATAAAAAGTTCTAAGGTCGATACTCCTAAATATTATTGTTTAAATATCTAATGGTCATTTTACTTATCTACTTATTCGACGATAATCGTGCAGGTTCGACAGCGATTAAGTTAGCAGTCGATCCCGTATCCGAGTTACATGGGAATCGCGTTAGATGCAAAGAAACCACGAGTAAAAGAAATGCTTTGAAATTGATTGAAATAATACGTTATAAAACGAGTGCTAAAAGTCTTTAGGTTAACGGCAGTTTAACCTTTCGTTTCTTGTCTCTTTCTCTCTCTCTCTCTCTCTCTCTCTCTCTCTCTCTCTCTCTCTCTCTTATCTCACGAAATAACCCTTTTCTTCGTCTTCGTCTTCGTCTTCGTCCGTTCATCGTCGTTCATCGTCGTTCATCATCGTCGTTGTAGTCGTCGTCGTTATTATTCGAGTTACAATGATTACGCGTAGAATATTCTTCCCCCTACCCTTTCTTGTTCCCTGGATCTCTCCTCCCTTTCTCTTTTTTTGTTTCTTCTAAGTTGTTACGGCCGATCGAGAGTGCAACGAACGATTGCGAAATAATTAATTCCCAAGTTTATCGGGGGTATGCGTACTTTTAATTTAAAAGCGAAAGAATTAATAAACAGAAAAATAAAGAATCATGGACGATGAAGGTGTACCCTAGCAGGAAGAAAGAAGAAGACATCGATTTCTGGATGTGCAGAATGAGTGAAGGTCTAGTGCACAGTCGATCAAGTTGTGACTAGATCCACACTCATTAAGCACGTTTGGTATTAACATCGCAGTTTCATCGACAATTCTCTGTGATAACAGTGGCTCTCGATATTCCTTTTTAAATGAACTCATGTCCATTTACTTAAAATATCGCGAGCTGTCGTGGATACATCGAGCTTATTTATAATATTTTTTTATGAATCTTACTACTGTTTTCCTCTGTTATTTTTCCTTCCTTCTCGATTATGTAATTTGTATTAGTTTCTAAACGTTTTTCTTTCTGCAAAGAGGAACAAAATCGATGTATATGAAAGTATTTCTTTGTCATAAATACAACAGTTTAATTTTAGAAACATTGTTTTAATTATTTATCGTCAATTTATTTATTTATATGTATGTATATTTATTATTTTCAAGGGAAAATGGTTTTTTTTCCAGTATGTTGAAAATATTCAACATATCGAGAGCCATTGTTATTTTGATGTTTTAAATAGCGTTTTAAATGATTAGAACAAAAAGTCGATTCCATAGACGAGTGTGAATGTGGTGCACGTATGCTCTATTTTCTCGTGACTAGATACATACTCGTCTACGGCAAACTATTTTGGATATTTTCAATAAGTGAAATGAAAGCGCGTACGAATAAAAGCTTTATTTTCCTCGATCGTTAATAATAAACGCATATTTATCGTTATATTATTATAAATTTATTCCGCCCAATCGTATAATAATTTTACATTCTTTTTCTTCTTTTTCATTTAAAGAGCAAAAGGCTACGCAGTCCAGATTTATTGGAAAATGAAGATACTAAAATACGTGCCGTGGATTCGCAATTTTTTCCTCTTAGTTATGCACCGAGATCGTAAGTTTGTTATTCAAATAGAAATTAACCAGGATGTTTTTATAGTTGTTCAATATTAATAATGTATAATATTAATGTACATTTCAGCGATACTTCGGTCAGGTGTCGCGTTAACCCTGACTCAGGAAAGGTTATATTATTTTTTGGGAAAGAAATTTCATCATGGAACAGAGAATCTAACTACGACGTGAATATCATACCAAAAAGCGAAACCGTACCATCTAATATTTTATATATGTACGAATTACTTCGGACTCAACAAAGCATAATTTTTTCCGTTTGTTATAATATCGGAAAACGTTTGTGCAATATGTGGTCGAAATCTGACCCTACCAATATACTTTATACACAAAATGTAACGTATCAAAGTCAAACGAATTTTCGTACCTGGGGTCGAATTCTTTGTGATTCTCATACCAAATCTGATATCACTAGTTACATGTTGGAAGGTTGTAAATCGTCGTACGACGGGTATAAGGCTGCCACCATTTCTTTGAATTTAGACGGTGTAAAACAGTATTCCTTGTATCCGGGTCAAATTGTGGCGGTGGAAGGAACGAATCCAACGAATAGTATTTTTCATGTGAAACAATTCTTTACTAAAGGTTATGCTATTAAAAGTGAACCGCCTAAACTTACAAAAAATTTAAATATCATAGTTGCGGCAGGTCCGTTCACGTCGTCGGATAATTTGTGTTATCAGCCTTTGTTCAATATTATGGAACGCGTAGCAAAAGAAGAACCTCATATATTAATACTCATTGGACCATTTATAGAGAAAAGTCATCCACATATAAAGAATTGTAAACTCATGGAAACGTTTCTAGAACTTTTCGAGAGACTTCTAGTCAAAGCTATGCAATATTTGTTAGGGTATGATATTTTTTATTTTGCTCTTGTAATCGATGTTATATAAATTTTATTTTTACTTATTATTTGATTTTAACGATTTTGTGATATTTTTCAAATGATCTTTTTTTTCACCTTCCATTGCAGAAAGTCTGTTAAACTTGTAATAATACCCTCGCATCTAGATGCTCATCATTTTGCCGTTTTCCCAACACCTGGATTTCATATTAATAAGGATAAATTGCCGCAAAACGGTGAAAATATTTATATGATGTCGGATCCTTCTATTATGGATATAGAAGGTTTGATAATCGGTGTAACCTCGGTAGATAGTATTAAGCATATATCAAAAGAAGAAATTTCGTAAGTATTTAAAGTTTTTAAATATTCATAATGATATATAGATATCATATTTTGATATAATTTATATCATTTTTTTCAGAAATTTTCCAGCAACAGATCGACTTATTCGCATAGCTGATCACATATTGTCTCAATGCTGCTTTTACCCCTTCTATCCTCCTAGTGTAAATCTCGATACGAAAATGTGGAAGAAACACGCTTTCTTCAATCTACAACCGCATATATTGATTTTGCCATCGGATATGCGTTATTTTTGTGGCGTAATCAATGATTGTCTCGTTATAAACCCCGAACGATCGATCAAGCAAATGTATGCAAGGTTGTGTATTAGACCAAGCGAACAATGGAATCCTCATAACATATCTTGTGAGATAGGAAAAATCTGAGAACATTATTTGTGGTATCTTCTTGGTTACCATAGTACGTTGTTGATGTTTATTAAAGAAAATAATTTAATGGTTTCTTTGTACTTATTTTTTTTTTTATCAAAATTTTATGTATAAATAAAAAAAGAAAATTATTTTTATTTCCTAAACTCACACACACACACATTTCATTTAAATACATTTACAGTATGTATAATTTTTTTAGTTCGAGGCGAACGGGATGTTTTTGAGTTATGCTTATTTTGAAAGATCGACATTTTTAAATTTTCATTCTTATAGGTTTTTTGTCTAATAATTATTAAAAATAAATATTATTCCATTTATTAGTGTAATTTGATTTTAATTTAATTTAATTTATTTATTTTGCATAGCATGAAAGGAAAAATTAGTAGTTGATTGATTATTTATAATTTCGATCTTATATATATATATAAAAGTGATTTAGATATAATTATTAAATTACATAAATTATTTTTTTTAATTTTTAAAATTTTCTAGTTAAAATTTAAAGAATTGATAAGTTAACCGACAGAGGTCAGTACGGGTTTTATTCTGTGTAGTCGAAGTTCAAAATGACTCCGCTCACACGTGACGGCGCCACATGTACGACGAATCGGAGTAATCGGGGTTTTCTGCTTCTACTGAGCCGTGGAATCGGCCATTACTTCAATATTTCTCCCGCGAACAAATACCTTCAATCAACGATGAGGAAACAAAAGAGTCTGCAAAAATTGGGGTGAGTATTCGTGTTTATTTTAACGTACGTTCGCCCTTCGACCTCGTTTCATTGACGAGGAAAATCAAGCGAAGAGAAAGTCCATTGGAATTAGCAACCTGCCAAATTTCATGGACGCCATCTTTCTTACGAATTCGTATACATTCCAATGTATACATTAATGATTTTTACCACATTCTTATTCCCAGGCTCATATTTTACAACTTTGAGTCCGATTTCTCGTTTCTAAAGTAACCGATTGTCCGTCTATTCGACTAGTACGTCATTTTTCTCATTGTTATTATACGATCGATGCTCGCGGCCTTGAAATTTGCCGCACTACTTTCACAATCGATAACACGCGTGGATTTTGTATTTTTCATTTTCTTTTATATATTTTTTTTTTATTTTTAATTTATTCTAATCAAGCATAATTTCATTATACCACAAAACATTCTATATCCGAACGAATTAATTGTATTGATTATATTTTTTATGTTATAACACGTATCAACGTTTGAAAAGAAAAAAATAAGAGAAAAATAAAGATGCGTTTTATCTTCTTCAATTTAGAAAGTTGATTATAGATGCTACGTTTTTTCAGACGACAAAATTGCATCGGATGATGTCGGCAAAAGTGAAAGTTCCGAACGCTTAAAGTTCGTGACCGAGTTTAGGTGTCTCTTAAATTCATTCGTTTAGATCTGCTAAATGGGTAGTTCATATACAAGAAAAAAGAAAATGAGCTATATAACGTTCCGATCCTCTAAAGGAATACTGTGGAATAAATTTGCGTTAATTTTATGACATAATACGTAACTGACAACGTAATCCGTGACATTAATCTTCCAGTTAACGCATGGCTACTTCTCGAAAGCACGTGACTCTCTGTGAATCGTTTGATAGTCCACTCTACTGCACTCGATGCACATTATTTATACGTACCAATGCTGATTATTGTGTTTTTAACATTTTTTACATATTTTCATCTCGATAGATTTAAAAATGTATCAACGAATGAAAATACGAATTCCGATATTACCGACTACAATTACATATATCTTTGATAATAGTTTTTACAATAAAAATAATCGAATTAATACCGCTGTATGCATGGATACATTTGGCCATTCAATAAATCAGTACAGTTTTTTAATAATGCAGAGTCAGTAATCCATCTTTTTAGCAAGCTCTTCAATTTAATTGCCGCTGATATTCACAAAGAAAATTTTTAAATTATTCTTTATCAAAATCAAATAGTCATCCGGATTGTGGCCTGTGATTTAGAAGAGAATTCGTCCTTCTTCAATCGTATAAATCATTTCTTTTGTTCTTACAGCAACATACCCCTCATCATATACGTTACGAAATATTTTTGGCGGCTTCTGTAATATTACTGAAAGCATAATTAAACTCTTAGAGCAACACATGTCAGAAATGTTTGTTTTTATTCACTTCAGATCCTTATAATTTTAATTTATAGCTTTAGTAACGTCTAATGATCATTTATATAAGAATTCTAATAAAAACAAATATAAGTTATTGAGTTATATATTAATACAGTACTGAAGACAATTAATATTATCGCTAGGAATCTACTATGAAATGAAAAACGCAAAAATTATTGGATATTGATGCATACAGTCTCATAGATTATATTTCATTGATCTTATTACATTTTAGCGAAGGTAACACGAATCCGCGATCAGATGAATATATAATAAATATGTAAATACTTATTTACGTGTTGATAGCAGTGGAAAAAACTCGTGATACTAATCATTCATTCATAAAAATTTATTCTCTTCGTTTAATTTTATTCAATATTTCATTTTCTCATTCTCACATAACAATATACAAAAAACAATGCTTTGTTATTTTGTTTGGTAGTATTGAATTATTTTGTATAAACTATTAATGAATATTTATCGAACGTCTAATATATTATATTCGATTAAATGTATTTAGATTATGGTATTTATTCGAATAATATTCCATTTTCTTCCTTTGTCGAAATCAAAAAGAAAACGGTTTCGGGAAAGAGAACAAAATGTTAAATAAAATTAGATATCAATTTGATACAAAATTAATAGCAAATTTTTATTATTTTCAATCTATTATTTGATTAGGATCACGCAATACACCAGTGCAAAGGGTGAAATAGAATTAATTAAATTTTTTATTTATATAACTATTTTCATTCTTAAATATTATGGAATTAAAATTTTTTAATTAATCACGAAAACAGAAATTAAAAATTCACGCGATTCGATTGCATAAATTTTAAATTACAAACATATACAAACAACATTGTTTGTTCAACAAATTTCACGATGAAGATAAGAAAGATCATGTAAATCCTTTTATATATATATTGATAAAAATGATTTAAGAATTATTATTTTAAAACGAACCTATGTAAATAGTAATTTAAATATTCTCAGAACAACTCAATGTTGATCATTAAACAGTTATTCCAAATTAAAAAAGCATTAACAATAAATCTTTAAATTCAATACATAGAAAATCATTATTCTTTTTTCTACCAATGAAAGAAGAACTCTTTCGGTTATTCCCTCTCTTGGAGATATCATAGACGAAAGTTCATTTACATTATTATATATGTATAAATATATGCGTAACATCGGTAGCATGAGAAAGCGAAAGTGTCATATCGATCCGATTGGTTCCTTGTCTGCCTACCTCAACCCTGATTTGGTCTCTCCGGTAAGATGATATTATTACTATCTTCTCATACTTCTCATTATCATTTTTATGTTTTAATTATATTATTTTAATCTATTTGTGTTAATTTTGTTCTTTCTTGTTACATGAAGTGAACGATGTCTTTTAGAAAGAAATATAATTTTAACAAAAATAATACACATATTTTTCATTTTGTTCTGGATCCAATATTGTTGTACAAATAACTCATTCGAAGACGAAAATGAATAAATAGATATCTTATCTTTCAATATTAAATTCACATAGATAAGTATCTATATCGGAAATGTTAATAGCGTCGCTTAGGTGTCTGTTCATATTAGAATGAACATTATAACGTACGATATTCATACATAAGTATTATACCATACTTCAGTATAAGTAGATACATTACGCTTTTCTACACGACTTTGAACATTAAGCTTTGACGTAGTTAATAGCTTGTGTCATCGGTAGTTAGGTGTGATTCAAATAATCGTCCATGATTTCCGAAAGAATAATATCATTTGTTTTATTTACGTTTCGATGATGATCTCACCGTCGAAAAAATATCATCGAAGGCACACCGTTTGTGCAGGAATGCTGCTTTTTTCTTTCTTTATTCTTTTCGAAAGAACGTACACACAGTGTAATACGTAATTCGGAATTGTGTGTCCTCGTCTCGTCTCTCCATTTCAAGGTCTTCTTCGTCAACGTTTCTTTCTATATAGTTTTAAAATCCCTCTCTTTCTTTTTTTTTCTCATCTTTCGTTTTTTTTCTTCTTCTATTTTCTAATCTTCTGATATATTGTCTACGTAAAAACATCTTTTCATTCGTCTCTCTTCCAATCGCAATTTAGATATACAGGGTTGGGTATTTACAGTGATTAGGTCAATCATAACAGCGAAAATCTACACCTGTTTTATATCAAAATAATCGACAATATATTAGAAAAAATATCGATTTGAAAATCATTATAAATCTTCATGATTTATTATTATTCTTGATGATTGCAATACAAGTGAAAATATATGTATTCATCTTCCCTCGGGACGTTGCTCTAAATGAACGTTTCTCTAGTCAATCAAGTTTATCGTGTTACAGTGTTCAGTATGTAACAATAAGCATGTCTTTTATTGTCCTTAATACCTTGTTACATATATATATATATATATATATACATATAATGATGATCTATATAAAATGGTGGTATTCTTCGTTCGTCGTACGAATGACTCTTGCTGTTGAATTTGAATGAAAGTTATTTTCATTTTTCTACTTGATTATATTTGTGAAATATTTTTTTCTATTTTTCTTTCTCTTTATTATATCCTTTTATACTCTGTTTATTTTTGGTACAGTGATAAAGTTTATATAACCCTGTTCGACGAGAAATTTGTTTGTTGAATTATTTAATTTGTATAGGAAATATAGATCGGAGAATAAGTATATATATATATATTTATATTTATATAAAGAGATAGATAAAATTAGATATTTAGAGATATTAAAATATATATTATAGTACTATAAGTAATATATAAAGATAATTAAATACACCTTCGATTGGTCATAATTCAATGTATATATTCATTCATTTGATTTATGATTAACGGTGATCGTTTGTCGTACGTTATGTAATGGTAGAAAAACGTAAGAAAGTGCATATATATAGATACAAAACAGTCATTATGCATTTAGCTGAATTTTATGTTAGTCTTGTTCTACAACGCGTTCTCTTAAAAAGATTTGTTTTTAAATAATAACATTTTAACCTCGATAAAGTGACTGGTTTTAAAATTCAAATGGAGAATATAAATGTTGCGATAAATAATTGATTAAAATGAGAGACATTTTATAGACATTTGTATCGAAGGCAAACCCGCGCACACGTGGGCGCGAATCCTGTCATGTCTGTTCTCTCTCTCTCTCTCTTTCTTTCTCGCACATACACACACATCCACATAACACACTCTGTGGACTTTGCAGATTCTTTTCTTCTTTCTTTTTGGTTTTTCTTTTTCTTTTTTGTTGTAAGTTAATTTTATAATGGGAAATAATAACGATCAATCTTAAAGTTCGGAAAAATTTTTTAAATAATTTTGATAACATTATCATAGATCGAATGAAATGGGACACTCGGTATATGATCACGGTGGAGGTCCCGAAAGAAAGAGAGAGAGAGAGGAAATAGTGAAGGAAAAATTAGCGAGTCCTACGCTGGTGGGCTGTTTTGGGCGGACGACGGCTGTGCACAAAAACGGCGGCAGTCAAGTTCAAGGCCACCACCCCCTCCAGCAGGTCCATGGCCGCCACCGACTACCCCCACCACCGACCACCACGTATCCTCACGGTCTATGTATGTAGATATATATCCGTATATACTTTATATAATATACACACATATTATATATATATACACGTATGTATGTGTATGCATATAAATATGTGTGTGTGTGTATGTATGTATGTATATACACAACGACGCGCCAGGAGTGTATCAATCCCGGCTGCGAAAACGAAGGGTAGTGAAGAAGGCAGAAGAACCCTCGATCGATTTACCCTCAATTCTCTTTCTCTTTCTTTCTTTTTGAGTACGTCCCTTATTTGCGATGTATTATTATAATTTTTGTTATATTTTATATTTTTTAAATATTATTTTGATATTTTTTTTTACACTCTCGTCGATATATATTTTCTATTTGTTTCGTCTATCGATCTAAAATTTATGATAATTATGATTTTACAGGACGATATAATCATTTACTTACGTACATGCATAAGTTGCTTCTTTCCTTTTTTTATATTGTTACGAAAGGAAGTGTATATTTTGAATAGGAGCATGTCCATTTTTCGTTATCGCGAGATATTTAAGGGTTTGTATTTAAATATAATTGTTGAAATATTGGTAAGCACACTTATAGACAACTTTTTTTACATTGTATTCTCCAAAGATTGGTTGGATAACATGTTTTCGTATTTCATTTCACGTACTGGGGGATATGCAAAGAATTGATTTTCTACATTATCATTTCTACTACTCCAAAATTATGATAATTTGGTTGAAATGAATGTCATGGCAATAAAAATTTCGGTAAGTGCTTATAGCATCAATATGAACACACAAAAAATGAAAAATTAATTTTATTTTCTAAATTTTCAACCTAAGATGAACTTTTTATCATTTTTCTCAAATAAACATATTTGCGATAATTTCAAATATAAGTAATTTTGAGTTATTTTGACTGTAGATTGTTTATAGATAGAAATGTCTTCGTTTTATTCAAAAACGGACTCGCTCAACTTTCGAAATAAACGGCTCTCATTTATTTTCTAGTAATATTTGATTTACATTGTTTTAGTTATCGCGTTAGTTGCATCTGTTGTTTTGGAAAAATTGTAATTGGACGGTATATTGGTATAATAAAAATATATAAATTAATATAAATTTTTGATTTTTAACGTATATTATTTCTCAGTTAGTTTACATTTAAACGTGTATATATATATCTATGTATAAGTGTTATAGTTAGATAGGAAAGGGGAGTAGAAGAGAAAATGATAGAAAAGACATTTGAACGGTTCAGGAGATATCGCAAATCGTTCCGAGTGCGAACAGATAAATGAGATAAGTTCTATCATATGTTGGCCCCAAGGTGAACAGTGTTAATGACCGATTTGCCGTGGCCATGAAAAAAGCCGAAAATGAGATATATTACAAGGCGGTATTTGTAATTATCGGGTAACATATGCGTATATTGCAGATATCGAACGGGGAACGATTTGATCTGAGATACGCGCCGGTGATAACGCAATTTTCTGTCTCCGTTAGCTAATGTAATGCAATTGTATCTACGGTAAACATGTGCCGTTATTTCCTAAGATTTTTTTATACGACTTGTTATATCAATAACAAGTATTTTTTTCATTCTATTATATTTTTACAATTAATTGTATCGTTCTGTTCGTTAAGATTCATAAATAATAGATTTATTTGAAATTGTTGAATTATGCATTTGAATCGTATCATAATATGTAGCTTATTATGTTATGCTAATATAGAAAATACAAAATTAATAAACATGTTGCGTGTGATCATCTAGTATGATTGTCCAATTGCGGACATTAGCAATGTAAATTTGGGAGTATTCGGTGAAAAATCGTCTGCCAACTACACGTAATATAACGTTCGTTTTAATGAATCTTTCATTATCTCCAATCGATCGTAGAAAAATGACGAAAAAAGATTTGCAATAATTCATTTCCATTGATATCACAAAGTTAATGCGAGACGCAACGTAAATTTCAAGTCACGTCGGGTGAGCGATCGAGTGATCAATTTATCCACACGTTATCGACATTCACTGTTTGTTATCAAAGATTATTTTGCTTATTTTGACGACTGTTTTCGTCAGTTTGCAAAGCTACAAGTTTTTCACCATTATAGAAAAATCTTAAAATATAAGAAAATTAAAAGAAACGAGATTGAACACACCACAATGCGTTTAACAATAAATATAAGAAAATCGTTTCGAAATTTGGAAAAGGTGTAAGTTTGAACTTTGAAAGGTAACAAAAACGAGGAACCGAAATAATTTCTAAATACATTTCATACGAATCGTAATCTCTTATTGACAAAGTTGTTGCTTGACATAGACGTAGGATCATTTTTGATTCCCACAACCGAGTAAACTATGTACAAATTTCGAGGATATGTCTTGTATCTTTATTAACCCTTTTCCCTGCGAATAGCGTCTTTGAGCGCTATATTCATTTGCTATCATCAACTTTCCAATGATGTACAATCATTGTTTTTTTTTTTATGCATACTATAATATATATACATTCTATGCAAGGGTTTAATGAACCTCCTCCATTTAACAATCTGTTTTATATCAAACTATATTATTGAAAAAAGATATTAGGTGCGTGATTTAAAAAATGTCTCTCAAGTTTAGATCAATGATTGATAGAAAAAGTTTAATATCCATAGTAGTAATACACGAATAGAAAGATAAAGAAAGTAAAAAAAAAGAAAAAAAAAAAAAGAAAAACAGAGAGAAACTTCGGGGGTCGTGAGTCGGGTGCGATCGAGGGGTCGCGTGTGGAACGGAATGGGGTAGAGTAGACTATAGTAGAATAGAGTAGAGTAGGATAGGATAGGATAGGATAGGGTAGAGTAGGGTGGCGTGTCGCGGCATGGGGTGGGGTGGGGTGGGGGTGTTACCGCATCCTCCGGCGCGTGTTTGCGTTCAGTCGCGCGCGAGCCGCGGTTTCGCCGAGTTGGTAGGGTATAGTGATTGCGTTAACGTTACCGTTGCTTAACGTAACGTAAAGCCACGCGGGGATGATTCGCGGTGCGTTTAATTATTTTATTTCCTCTACCATAATAATAATCACCTTTACCATTATATTTTCCATATTATTACCCTATACCAATCGTATTTTTTCGACACTAATAACGACGTCTTCCTTGCCCTCGTGATACATCCCACCGCCATTTTCTTATTTTGCTTATTCTCACTCTGCTTATTCTTCAGTGTGAAAAGGAGCGAGAACGATATGGAGGCCTGGATGTACGACGTGGTACGTGCTTTTTCTTCTTTTCTTCTTCTTCTTCTTTTCTATTCTTTTCCCCCCTTTTTTTTTTCTTCTTCTTTTTTTTTTCTTCTTCTTTTTTTTTTCTTCTTCTTTTTTTTTATTTTTTATTTTTATTTTTAATTTTTGTTTACTCCCCCAACATGATCTACCTCTTTTCCCTTTAACTATCTTCCCTTTCTCTCTCTCTCTCTCTCTCTGCCTTTCTCTTTCTCTTTCTCCTCCCCCTTTCTCTTTTACTTTCTCTTTTATTTTCTCTCCCTCTCCCTCTCCTTTTCTCTCTCTCTCTCTCTCTCTCTCTATCGCAGATCTCGTGGCTTTGTTTACGTGGTGCGCGCGCGCTCGACTCCGATCGAAGCTTTTCGAATGGAGACAGAGAGAGAGAAAGAGAAAGAGATAGAGATAGAGATGGAGATAGAGACAGAGATACAGATAGATATAGATATAGATAGAAAGATAGAAAGATAGAGTTAGAGATCTAGATAGAGATAAAGATGGAGAAAGTGATAAGGTGTTCTTTAATTTTCGGTTAATTAACAATAATTTTTGTTTTTTTTTTTTCAATCAAAAAATGTCGTAGCTCATACTATTTATCTTATTATTTTTATTTTTTATATCTCATTTATATCTGTATTTCATCAGAGATGTTTTTGATCTATTATGGACCGCGCGCGAGCTGGAAAAATAATGTTTTTTTCTTTGGCGAGAAATGATAAGAAAGTTCATAAGTCTTTCGGAACGGTTATTACTACTTACTTATTTCATATTTGGTCTCTTTGTCTTTTGGAATATTCACATTTTGCAGCATTTGACTTGTATTTACTTGACGTGTTTTCTCTTTCTTTCTCTCTCTCTCTCTCTCTCGATGTTTAGAACGACTTTACACGAAAAGTTAGTTAGAGTGAGAGAGAAGCTGAGAAGAACGAGGTAGAAAAGATTAGAGAGAAGAAGAGGTGAAATTAATTGGTGTTAAGAGATCTCTACGATTTCGTCACTATTCATTTTTGTTCTTCGCAGTCGTATGTGTTCGCTGATCAAACGTGTTAAACGTTGTTTTCCGTTCTCTCTCGTTTCTTCACTTGTCGACCAAATTTATTTTCTCCTAATAAAATATAAATATATTTATATATATATATATATACGTAAAAAAGTTCATCAAACTTTATTACTTGTCTACGTTTAATCGTCCTGCTCATTGATTTTTATTCTTTACATTAAAAACATGAATTAATTGTAACCTATTATTTTTCTAGCGCTTCTCTTACGTGTGTGTTTCTTTTATTCAAAATATTAATTTATAAGGAATACAATGAAAGAGGATGGTTTTAATCTCTATTTTATGTGCGTGTGTTTATTCTATCCTCCTACGTTTCAAACATCAAAAACGTAAAAGGAATCCTTACGTGCTCGTAGAATAATATCTTTGTGCTCCGACTTCTCTCGCATCTTCGAGAGAAGAGCAATGTGCAAACAGAAAAAAAACAAAAAAAAGAGATAAGAAATTTGTCGCTTATGTTTAGAGTGGTGGTGGTGGTCGTCGTCGTCGTCGTCGTCGTCGTTTACGTTCTTCCAAATGAAAAACATGCACGTGGAACGAGGAAAATACGCGAAGAAGAAACGATAGCAATCGCAGTCGTTATATTTGAAGTTTGAAGCATAAACGATTACACTTGTGTTACTCTCTCTCTCTCTCTCCCTCTCTTTTTTTCTTTTTCTCTTTTTTGCAGGGAAAAAAATCTAGAATGAGAGCTTAGCAGAATT